AAAGAATTTGTGCCAGATTATTTGATAATCTTTACAATGTAATTGCCCCATCCGTCACTAATTTAGATAATGGTGGATATTGAACTGTTATTGAATATTCTCAAATACAACCTGTGAGTATTAAATAGTGTATGAGTCATTACTGTGCCTCAATTAACTTTTCAATCTAATATATGTACATATAATATAATATAAGCAAAATAAAGTATCAACCAGAATTTTGTTGTGATTATAGTCTTGGATACTTTATTCCTAAAAGATGCGCTGATTATTTTTATTATGATTATTTATATTATAAACACAGTTCAAAAATAAAAAAAAACTTTTTTAAATTACTTAATCATATTGAAGAACGATTTTATTTGATGTTCAATACTTTCGAATGCTGGTATTATAAGCAAATGGTGTATTGTTATATGACCGATTGAAACGTGGTAACAACGAGGTGAAAGCGCTTGCGACTGGTTTTCTAACAAATGTTAAAGAAACATTTTCTAATACATACAGATCTATAATACGATCTATTGCTGTTTTAGTCTTAATCTTCAATATTCAATTCTTCGAATTTCACATTATCAGGTTGCTATCGTATATCGCAACTCCACTACCTATATGCTGAATTAGACATACTTCTTATAAAAGAGCATAATGAGTATAACTATCTAAGCAATGTTTCCCTATATGTCATGCAGAACTGTATGGCAGGTCCCTGCCCATATATGATTACGACGCATCAATTAATTTCGGCATATGTTGCTGTTTTATAACAACTGCTAAAATTGTTATTCTAATTTAAAAGTTCCAAAATTTAAACATCTTTTTGAATTTTTTTTAATATATTATTATTCAGACAGATAACCGATATTTTAAATTAAAAACTTACATGAGATATCAGTTATTTATAAAATATAAATGTTATACTGTTTCTTAGATTTTTTATTGCATTCATATTATACTAAACTTGGAATAAAAAAGTCGATTTAAAACTAAAAATACTTAAAGCCATAAAAAACCCACTAGTTTACCTAAAGACTTCTTTGTTCTTTAATGAAACTTTTAACATTTTTTTAAGTATTTCTTAAACACTACCCAAACTACTTATAACATCTAAATTCGTTGGAGGTGCAATTGGTTGTGGAGCAATATCGAATTCCGGTATAGAAGCGTTAATATTATGTTGAACGGGTGGTCTTGAAAATGCTTTAGTTGATAGATTTTCGATTTCAGGCGTAAAATTTTGTATTTCATCATTTACATGAAAATTTTTAGATTTATTTGTTTGTTGTTGCTCTGATAAATCAGTAGAGCGAATTTCTTTCTCCATAGACTGCGGATGGGATAATATTGGTTGTTGTTGTAGACGTTGTATACTTTTAACATAATTAATAGGAATCAGTCCAGAATTTTGACCATCAGTTGAAGCAATAGCCCAACCTGAATTTAATAAACCCAGTGTGTTTTGTATTTCTTTGGGCGCAATAATTAATTTTTGACCGACTTGAAGAGCTAGTTCCGACTGGTCTCTTGGAACAAAATCATATTCTGCGTAGGACTGTATAGGTTTAATCCATTTGGAAGGTACTCGTGCTATATTAGTATATAAAAATAATAATTAAATTCATTGCGTTTAATGCACTGGTAATACAACTTTTTTAAATCAATTACATATAAATACAAGATTATATTATCTTATCAATTATAAAGCTTTTGAGATTTGTATTTATATTTAGTGTGATAAGTCCATTAATTATTATGGTACTTATGTGGAAAAAATACTGTAACATACCTTCGGCCTGTGCTGTGTTTGTGACAGTACCTAGCATTTTCATAATGAGGTAGGGCACTGTAAATATAAAACTTAGAAACGCAATTATTGGCCAGGGTGACTGACCCTTGCGTGGTACTTTCGGTGCACCTGTCTCACCGGTTGTATTATTAATGGCTTCTGCAAAAGCGTCTTTGAAAGCTTCTGATGATGGATCCATATTTGATATTCGAAGCCAGTATAGCATTCTAAAGAACATTTGTTTTTAAAAAAAATTTTAATATCGAATAATTAATGAAAAATTTGTATTACTTACTTTCGGTATAAAAATCGTATGGCACGAATAACGGCAAATGTTTGCCAGAATTGTGCAAATACTCCTCGTAAGCGTCCAAAATTCGCTGCCACACCCAATATGGCACGAAATGAACTTGTTAGTGCAAAGAATGTTGAATCTAACATAGATGCGATGTTACCAATTGCACTAACTAATGATTGTATACTATCAAAAGCAGGCCGAGTGCTTGCTTCTGCTAATTGTATGAATCGTGCTTCAGGATCATACGGATTTAGATTTGAACCAAAATTGTTATAACCTCCACCAAATAACCCTCCGCCATAGCCACCATAACTATATGAGTTTCCAAATCCTGAACCAAATCCGCCAAAACCACCATATAAATTGTTACTATTGTAGCTATTGTAGTTATTGCCATATGGCGTTGGTGGAACAGGTGGGCAAGGTAGTGCCCGTACATTTCCACCAAATTGAGTAGGCAACATCATTGTTGGATTATTTCCAGCTAGCGAAGCTACAGGTTGCGGCATAATAAGTGGTTCATTTACAATAGCGTTACGATAATTACTTGCTGGACCCATATCCATTTTGTATGTCTTATAATTTTCGTATTAAAACTTTAATCGATTGAACTTTGCTCGGCTAACAACTTTATTTTATCTGCGCATGAGAGCACGGGGTGTGCAAAAATCAATCAATTTTCTTCAAAGGAATCCTTTTATTAACAACCAACTGTTGAAGAATTTTTTTTCATTTTCTCTAAATTCACAAAATTATATTTTATTTACCTTTGTTAAAAATTTAATTATAGAATTTTGAAACTCCTTAATATGTTGTTAATACACTATAATCACCCACCAACAGCAACCTACCACAACTACCACTTATGCATTAACAGCTGATATGAATTATTATTGCCAACATTAAGCTTTTTGTAGAGTTGCCACCTCTTAGAAAGTTATGCGATAAGTTGTATAGATGCAACTCATTTAATTTAGCACCTAGAATCTTATAAACATTTTGACATTTGAAACTTATAGACAGTTTGCCGCTTGATTTAATAGTTGTGAACAGATGCAGATGCAGAACTCTACGTATAACTCTACGTATGTTTTTAAAATATAATTAAAATAAAACCTTTGTCATTCACCAATAAGTATGTACATATATTGTTAATTGATATTAATTATAAATCAAATATCCGTATAATAATCTAAAATTAATTAATATTAATCATACAAAACTAAATCGGAATAGTTTTTAAAAATTTATTATTATTTTAAAAAAGAATCTTTCAAAAACAAATAAACATTTTTAAAAAAGTTTTTTAATTAACTATTGATCAATTAGCCCTTAAAAAACAAAATTCCTATAATTGTTTTCATAAACATTTCCTAATGTTTTCATTAATTCTGAAGTTTAGGACGAGTGCGAGTTAGGCTAAGTTGATGCTAAACCAAATAGGAGATTTTTTGGGATTTTTTGCACTGCACACATATAGCCATTTATCAACACGTATCGACACATCACTACATTATCTCCACAACTTAGAATTTTCCTCATTTAGAACACAACTTAGCCTAACTCGCACACGTCCTTAGATGTATATACTATTTTTCTCAATAATACAATATGCGAACTGAAGAATAGTTATTAAGCCGGTGTAAAACAAATTGCTATAGTCTGGCATCACTTTACATTTTTCTATTGTTTCTTTGTTTTCTGTTTTATTCATTCTTTGTTGACATCTAACTTTCTTCTTCATTTAACAGTTTGGAAGTCGAGAAAGTAGTTGAAAAGAGAACATATATTTTATATCATAGTTTTATTTGATTCAATTAAACGGAGTGATGTGCTCCAAAGAGCTTTATGCTATCAGAGAATGGGCGCCCTTGACGGATCTGATCGAACGCATTCCAAGCCGCACACAGAGAGGATTTCTTTCTGTCGATGTAAATATAACATGCATTGATGCTGTAAACGAATTCATAGCCTTAGGCAGTGATGTAGGAATAGTTTTCTGGTATAATCGCTTTACTGGAAACGTTCAAAAACTAAAAGCTGAAGTAGGTATACATAGCAATATCATTTTAAATACTATTTGATGACTCATATTTTAAATTGCGTGTTTGGTGATGATAACAAATATACACTCCTTAATTTTAGGTTGCAACGCGCATAACTTGTGTTAAAATTGTTAATTCTGTTGAATTTATGGTGGCAGCGGGCAATTCAACTGGACAAGTAAGTGTGTTTCAAATACAAAAAGAATTACCACCTGACCTCAACTTGGTTGGACCGTGTGCGCGCCCAAAGCCAATTGAACGTTATACCATACGTGATCTACATCGGAGTGCTGTAAGTTGCAATGAATGGTCCAAAAATGGGATGAAGCTATATTCTGGTGACAGACTTGGGGTAGTTGTGCTGACTGAATTCGACTATCAAGCGGTTTGTGTTAAATATATGTATAAATAGAAGCATGCATAAACGAAAATATGATTCTCGTTTCTTTTAGCATATAAGTAAGTCTGTGGAAATACTAAGTGAAGCGTATGAAATAGTACAAATGAATGTGTATCAAAGTTATCTCTTAGTATCCACATTATACCGTTCAATAATATGTCAACGTTGCACAACTAGTGGGCAATGGCAAATAACTCAAGTTGGTAAAAAGGATCGTAAGCAACTAGTAGACTGTGGCGGTGTGTTTTTAAAAACAGGTGGTAAATCATTAAGTTTGATTTGCGGCCGACCTGGATTACGGTTTTGGTTAGCTGATACTGATGGCAACGTTGAAAAAACTTATTTGTTTAAAGAAGCCATTCATTGTAATCCAACATGGGTGATACCTATATTAAACCCAAAACAGGATATATATCGCTCGACACAGCACGAAAGCAATGTATCTGATTCGGTAAGAAACTTTGGTGTCATGTATCCTTATATTGGAACAGATACATTGATTGTGACACACGACGAAATCAATTTGTATATATTGAATTTGGATCGCTTGTGTGTAGAGGCAGTTGCCAAGGGTTTTCGTAAAATTTTGGATTTTTGTGTGTGTGATAATGAAATTTTCGTCTTAGAAGGTGAACGTTCCGTTTTGCGACTAGCGCCAATGCCGGAGAAGCCCAACAAAACTGGTAATTAAAAAACTTGAACACCATAAGTAATAGTTCTTATTTTCACATCAATATTTATTTTAAGCCAAAATTATATTTAATCCACTTATGCCACCGCCTGTTCCTGTATTGGGTTCTGCTATATGTGGTACATTTGAGTCTCCTGTTGAATATGAACCAGACGAACAGTCTATTATTAAAGCTGAGGAATGTTTTGAATTATCACCAATTGAACCTAATAAATATATACCTATTGAGTTAGCGGTAGAGTCGCCACGTGCCGAACAGAACCGTCGACTCGAAATATTTAATCAAATATCACAAATGGATTTTGATCAATCAATACTTCATCATAGTGGCGTATTTGTAAATGGTCGAAAAAAGCGTAAAAGTCGCGATAATTCTGTACCTTCAAAAGCTGAAGGAATTGTTGAAATTGGACAAGTAGCAGACGTAAAATTAGCGCAAAATGAAAAAGCCGATGGTGAGCACATACAAAACAGAGATTCCGACAAAAATGAGGAAACAAACCGGAAAAGTTTTGCTGCAAAAATCGATAAATCAAACGCATCGGAATTTACGTCAAAGCCAACTTTAATGGACGTTAGCTATTGCTTACCAGAAAGGTAATATTATACTTTAATTCAATAGCGCGGCTTCTTATTGTTTCTTATATATTTTTAAATTGCTTTAAATTTTTTTTTGATTTATATTTTCAAAAAATAAAGAATTAAAATCCTTCAATTTTTAGTATAAAAAGCGACCAAGAAACTCAAACGTTTGGTCTAGGTTCACCAGCTGGAATTGAAAGGAGTGATGAACTAAAAACCTTTTCAGAAGAATTAAAGTTGTCAGATAACTTATATATCAACGAAAACATGAACATCTCACAAGTATTAAGCTCGTCAATTAAAGAATTAAAACACGCATATCCTAGACAGTCGAAAGTTGAAGACGCTGGCGTACAAACAAGTCCAAATAAAAAGTTCTACTACGTGCCTGACTTTAGTACAGGACAACCGGTGGATGATATCATTCAGACTTTACGTGAAACAAATTTAGCAGAAGATTTCCCTAATACCAATACTACCAGTAACGATGAAGTATGTGCTCCAACATTAGAGGAAGAACTATTGGGAGCAGTTGGAGGTATATCGTCACGGCAAGCATCTAACAGTGTTGAAAAACAATTTGTACACATGCCACCAGTAAATACCGAAATTGACAGTTTCCTCTTAGATTTTAGTCGAGCTCGAGATCCTTTGCAGAAAAACACACCACCACCTTCTGCGGAATCAAACACATCAAGTGATTGGGAATTCTTAGATAATTAAACCAATAAGTATATTCAAAACATTCTTTATTTCTTAATTAAACTTAACATATAACATATGATATTAAACTATTCCAGTTCCAAAGTCTTAATTGTATTCAGTGAAACTTTAATGTTGTGAACACTCAATGTGATTTTATTTTTGTTTTTTCAAAAAATTGTTATTTTTTAAGCAAAATTTTTTTGATCCTGTTTTGTATATAATAATATTAGTATTTATTAAATTAATCATGATAATTATATTTTATATGCCGGTAAGAATACTTTATTGGTAATTTTACTCATTTTGCATTTTAAATTTAAATTTAAGAGTTTATTAAAGCTTTTTGCATATTCAATTTAATTGTAATTGTAATTTGCATTTTCATTTCTTGTTGAAGCAGTTTCCTCATTCCAGGGGCAAGTTCCGCCATCCATTTTTTCGTTTTTTTCAACCGTTTAGTTGTCGATTCAAGTCGTTATTGGATATAGAATTAGAATTGGCAGTTTCTGAAAATATGTATTGTTAGTCTATGCTTTAATAAGGTTGTAAGGGAAGGTACCTTAACTGTCAGTTATGGTAGTGTCTTCTTCTTCTTTATTCCGTTAACTCCCAGTGGAGCATAGGACGTCTTGATTTCGTTCATCTCGAAACTATCGATGTTATTAAAGCATGGGTTTGGCACCTCCAAATCCGGTGTGCCTGCTGCAGCGTGTGCAGGGGGATTACTCGAATGTCGATTACCTCTTGGAGAAGTTGTTCCGTTTTCGTTTGAATCCAAGTTGTAGATGTTTCGTTGATTTGATTTGACGATTTGACGATTCACATATGCGGTGGATGAAAACTCAGCGAGATTCCGGCGTGGTACACGTTTATATAGCGATCCGATTGCTACAAGTCCGACGACCGCTTTCAGCCGCACCTTACATGATGAACAGACGCTGAAATAGAAACACCATTTGAAACTTGCGTCGTTGACCATACTGTTGATTCGTCCGCCGCCTTGAGATTCTACGCTGTCCATGTTTGATGACAGAGTTTGCTTCTCCGGCCTATTTGGTCCGCGGGAGGTATTTGATTTCCCTTCTACCACCCATATCTGGGAGGCATTCTCCTATTCGCCACCTGCGGACGCGCTCTCTAGGGATGTTAGACTCCCCCGAGGGAGTTACGGTAGTGTAGTAATAACAAACATCGAATATTGGCTACGGAGTCGTGAAGCAATTGAGCATTCTACAATTTTGCTAAATCTCTAAATCGTAACAGATTTGAATTTATATGAATCATTGGTTTCTTAAAACTACTATCTATTAAAGATGATATTTTAGACCGTTGAGATTTATATATTTTAGGAAATGCATTGAGAATTACTTGTCTATTATGATGTTTAGAATGAAGTCATCAATGTTAAGAACGTTTGTGGTTTATTTAACTATATTTGATTATGTTTGTAAAACCCCAATATATATTTTTGTAAGATGTTGTGTGAAAGACTATAATGATTTTATAGGGAAAAAATGATGATCGAATAAGGATCATCAAGCGGAGAGTTTCATCTAACTAGATGTTATTCACGATATATAGGCGGATACATAAGCCAAACATATCCTCAGCAGGAAGAAACAATCGAAAAGCTACATGTTCATCTTTGGCATATGTGAAAAAAACTAGAGAATAACTTTTTTATAATTAGACAAAACCGACCAAGTACTCCAAGACTATTTTATTTTTATATGTGTCTAGCAGTTTTTTTAATAGAAACTGATTTAAAAAGGTCAATAAAGCTTAAGCCTGGCCTAGAAT